CCTTGTGCCGAAAGAGTCGTGGATCGCGCAGAAGATGACCTTGGAGTATTTCGAGGAGCAGGAGACGCTGCATGCAAGATATGGGTTCGTTGACACTCGCTACAATCTTTATATCGATCAAATACTGACATCAGAGACAGTGTCGTACTCCTCGTCACTGGTTTCGCCATCCCGATAGTGTTCACTCTCATCAACTACCTCCCTTTCATGACCGCACTCCTGGAACGTCTAAGCCCATACATCATCTATCCCTCCCTTATCGGTAACTATCACGTCCGTCCTCTTCCCTACCTCCTCGGCAATGCCCCGACTATTGGCCAGTCTCTCTACATCTTTTTCTTCTTCTCCCTCAACATCCTCTTGAGTGCAGTCGAGTACCGTTCCACCCAACCAAACACCTGGTTCGCAACCCGCTGGCAAGAAATCGCCGGCTACGTCTCCTGCCGCACCGGTGTCCTGGCCTTCGCTCTCGCTCCGCTAGTCATTCTGTTCGCGGGACGGAATAACTTTCTATTATGGGTCACGAACTGGAGCCACTCGACGTTCATGCTGCTGCACCGGTGGGTAGCAAGGATCTTCGGTCTCCAAGTTATCGTCCACTCTATCGTCGAACTCGCGCTGTATATCGACAACGGGTCGTTCAAAGAGGAAACGGTCCAACCGTATTGGATCTGGGGCATCGTCGGCACACTAGCCTGCTCCATCATGCTCATAGCCAGCATGCTCTATTTCCGCCGCCTCTCCTACGAAGTCTTCCTCCTCATCCACATCTTGCTCGCCGTCTTCGTCCTCGTCGGGAGCTGGTACCACGTGGACTTCCTCTTCGAGAACCGCTGGGGCTACAAGTACTGGCTGTACGCCGCCTTCGCCGTGTGGGCCTTCGACCGCATCCTCCGCCTCCTCCGCATCGCCAAGACCGGCATCAAGACGGCCAAGGTGACGGACGTCGGCGACGGCATTGTGAGGATCGACATCCCCGGCGTCCGATGGGCCACGGTCCCGGGACGGCACGCGTACGCTTACTTCCCCGCCATCAGCGGCTGGAGGCCGTGGGAAAATCACCCCTTCTCCATCATTCCCAGCGCGATGCTGCATCCCTCCGCCACTTCCCCCGTCACCGCTCCTAACACCAACGCCGCCACAGCCACATCCTCTGCTCCCTCCTCCGTCTCCGAAACAAGCGACCCCGAAAAAGCCCTCCCGCACACGCACACCAAACCTCTCTCCTCCCCCCACCGCCCCGCATCCCCTACCCCTGCCTCTGGAGTGACCCTCTACATCCGCAAGTCCACAGGGACAACGCAGCACCTAGTCGACAGCACCCGCATGACCGCCGTCCTCGACGGACCGTACCCGAACAGCGACACCGCGGCCGTACTAAGCTGTGACCGACTGATCCTCATCGGCGGGGGGATCGGGATCACGGCGCTTTTACCCTTCCTAGGCGCGCACGCGAACGCGAAGTTATATTGGAGTGTCCGTGCCGCTGGGGCGGGGTTGGTGCAGGAATTAGCGTCTGCGCTGGAAGGTAGGGAGAAGGAGGTTGTTGTGGGGAGTCGGTTGGATGTCGAAGGGGTGCTGGCTGTGGAAGCGCAGGGGGGCTGGGAGAGGATTGGGGTCGTGGTTTGTGGACCCGGTGGTCTGTGTGATGGGGTTAGGGATGCGGTGGCTAGGGCAGGGAGGAAGGGGAGGCCGACGTGGGAGTTGGAGGTTGAGGCTTATAGTTGGTAGGGTTGATACAAGCAGTGGAGCCGTTTGAAATTTATGTTATCCCCCCGCTACTTCTTAAATTACTAACGGTGAAGAGAAATTGCTTCTTGGCATTGAGCTATGGGACGAGATGTATAAAGTTGGGAACTTGAGTATGTTATTTTACTAACGATCCTCGGAACCAGTGTAAACGCACCAAGCCAATGCACCGATGCCAAATCCATATAAAGCATGCTTGTATGCGAGAGAAGACGGAGAGAGATGATAGTGAAAGAGACATGCATATTGAGAAATCAACAATAGTATCAAATACATGTCATCCAAAATGTTTCAGAAAAACAGGAGAACAACCCTAACGCCAAATCAAATGCAATCAAAGCAGATCTCCTCTCCATACATACCTTATTTCTCATCCCCATTCCTTACTATCCAGAAGCCGCAACACCATCAGTACCACCATACCTCCTCCCTCTCGTTTCCCCATTGCTCTCACCATTAAGTAACCCCTCTCTCTCGCCCCCCGCAGCCGCTGGAATCCTCCTTTCCTCTGCATCTTGCGCTTCAGCCTCCAACCCACTCCTCCCCATCTTCTTACTCTTCCGCCATACATACCCCACCAGTGCTACTCCCACAACTAGTGCAGTGCCCAGAAGGATCAAGTTGACGGGGACGGGGTTGGAGTCGAAAGCCTGGTGCGTGAGGGCGTCGAGGCCGGATTGGGAGAAGTTGAATAAGCCGGCCAAGCAGATTATGAGACCGTAGACTTTGCCGAAGGTTGCGAAGCCGAAGACTTTGGCGGCGTAATCGCTGTTGATCGGTCAGTACTGTTGCTGGGCGCGTTTACGGGGTCGAATAAGGGCCTAGAAGGTATTAAAGGAGGGCAAAAGGAAAACCGGAGCTTACGAAACAGTTGTATAATAAAGTGGCCTATACACCACAAACAAACACACATTGGCATATGCGGCCCACATCTGCGGAATGACCCCGAGTATTCCAATCATCGTGGCAATCGTAACCAGCAACCCGAGCACGAAAGTCGTACTCGAATTATCCAATATTAACCCAATGAAAGGCACCGAGATAACACCACCAAGCGGCAAGGCAACGTCGAAAAATGTATTAACCTGTACCGCTTTACTATAGTCCCCAAGGAGGTATTCATATTGGGGCCGTATCGTCGCGACGAAGTAATTGATCCGCGTCATCTGGACGACGGTAAAGAGCGTGACGAGCACGAACCAGGGGCTCATAATCTGTTGGAGAGCTGTTTTGCCGTGCATGGCGCCCCAGACGCCGGACTTGTGTTTCTTCTTTTCTTCTTTTTGGGTTTGCTCCACCGCGTCTTTACTCCCGAGTAGTTCCGTGATCTCGGAGACGATGGACTCGCGGTGCTCACGGCGCTCAGCGCGAAGACGCTCGATGGTTGCGCTGTCCTCTGCTCGTGCGAGGAGGTCCGAGTCGGAGTGGGCCAGGCCGTTGTCTTCGGCTTGAACGACGAGCTCACCTACCGTTTTGTAGCTCTTCTCCGGCATAACTAGCAATTGTACAATTAGGATATACGCCGGGACAACCAAATATGCAAGAAAGAACTTCTTGGGCCAAAAGCTGCCGCCAGACGCTTGATAGATCAACCTATAGAATAGGAAGATCGCACTACTGGTGTCGAACGCGCCGGTCAGGAGCGCGAGAATGAGACCAGAGTATCGCGGAAAGGCATTTGAAAGCTGGAAGGAAGAGATGAAGATGAAGGGTCCCGCGAGTGCAAGGAAAAGATAGCCCGGAATGTAACCGTCGAAGGGCATTTGAAAGGCAAAGGCGAAAAAGAGACAACCAGCCGTCAGGAAAAACACTCCGACTAACCCGGAAACACGAGGGCCATACCGGTCTAGGATAGTACCTACGGGGAGAGCGGCGACGTTGGTGGAGACAGCGGCAACAGTGAACATGAAGTTCAAACTGGTGGAAGAAAGTGAGTTCTTGACTGATGTTGGCAGATGAGGTCTAGGAAACGTACCTGATCTCTTGGTAGAAGCATACTCTGACTCCATCTTCAATTTCTTGTTCTGTGCACTTTTCTCTGTAGACTTCTTCTTTGATGAGGACCGGTTTGATGGCCGCATAACCAAACACGATTCCGGCAGCAAAGAGACAGTATATCACAGCACAGATTATCTGCACTGCACCGATCACATATTAGCATCTTCATTCCTCTTATAGTGTTTGAATTGAAAAATTTAGATTCACTAACCTATCCTCTTCGCCTTTGAAACCTCAAAAGCCGCAACTGGATTTTCTTCGTTCATTGGTGGTAACCAGGTGTTCACGGGATTGAAACTCAACTTTCTATTCTGCCCCCCATTAGGACTCAAATCTCGCCATCGATCATACTCCTCGAGCGTCGAGACACGCTCAGCGAGAGACATGATGGAGTATACAGCAACCCCGCACAAAAAAGATTTACGGGATGTTACGATATATAGCGATTTCGGAGATAAAAGATGGTGGGAGGGATGTATCTAGCTCTGAAGTATCAGGTGGTTGGAATACTTAAAGTAGAGCTTGTCAATTGGACAAAGATGATAGGTGAATGCGGTGGCGACTGGGCGAATAGCTCTCTCCTCTCTCCCCTTTCACTCCTCCTCTTTAACCTAGTTCTAATGCAAGGAGCAGAAGATTTAGGACAATTGGAAAAATGCTCCTTACTGGAGCTGAGTACTGTGAAAAAGCTGAATGACTTAAAAGAAGACTTAGCTGTCCTGTATTTTTGAAATCCGGTCAGAAATGGACAAAAGGGAAAGAAAGTACAAAAGATGAAGACGAGTTTGGGAGGCGGGGGGCAAGCAGAAGCTCAATCTGCAGGGTGAGGTCAAAATTTTGCCTTGGCTTTGGTGGCAGTTCCGATAACACTAGAACTATAAAAACTACCGGTATCAAGCCTCAAATCTTTTAGCACTAGAACGGATATCGTGGGAGATGGATGTGATGGAGACTGATAGTGATAAGGATTTGTTACTAACTGCGATTTCTGCTGTATGAAGATCGGATGAAGCAGATGGCTTCCTCTCTATTTCCAACGCGATGGATCTTAGGTTGGATCGTTAAAAGGTGCAAGGTCAGATATAAACCCTGAACAAAATATGCAAAAGTTATGCAACGTGATACAAAAGAATAGAGGGGTAGCTCTTGCTTGGCTTGGTGGGGTTACCGCGAAACTCGGCATCAGTCAATTACTGAAAACGGCAGTATTTACTTTAGATTATCAGGAATGAGCGCAAAAATCCTAGTTCAAAAGTCCTGTGACGCAGTGGTTAGCGTGTCGTTCTTATATTTACGTTCCTCGCTTGCGAGGTTGTATGTATGACCATTGTGGTAATGCGAAAGTCGCGGGTTCAAGTCCCGCCAGGACTAGGGCTTATCTTTTTGCTTTTTCATCCTCCAGTATATGTGAATTTGTTGTTGAGTTCCAAGGTGGTTGGATTATTGATATTTTTTGGTGGATTCGGGGAACTGGAGAAGCAGGCGGGTAGGTAATTAAAAGAGGCTTGGCGTAAGAGATAATCGATTTGGGGTGGAGCGGAGTTGTAGATGGCATTCTCACTTTTTTTAATATCATAACGGAATCAGACTAAGAAAAGATTGAATCAGGTTAATCTCAGATAGGGCTAGAAGATAATCTTTGCAAATATCGTATATATGTATACCTTATATATCATTAGCTTGACTCAGTCTATGCTGTAGAAACTCTCAAAGTCTCAAGAAGAAAAAAACAAAAACACCATTCCATGCACCTTATCGCCCAAGATGCTATAAACCAAATACGATATGTGCGAACGAAAGACAATCTTTCCCACAACGCCACGCTATGCAATGCTAATCACCATATCACCATCCTCAAAACCCGTCGCGAGGAGTTATCTGGTCAGTCTTATTACAAAAAATATATTCCACTAGAAAAGTCAAGGATCAAGTCTAACCATAAAACCTCATCGCATGCCGTCTCTGTGCATGTCTCACAATATCCTCTCTAATCGGTTGGGCATGGACAAGTTCATCTTCCGGTTCGATGACATCGCGTTTCTGCACGCTACCCGTTGCTTGAGGACGCGGGAGGGTGATGGTCTCGACGAGTGTCACGACCATCGTGGTGTATTCTTGAGACTGCGATGATGCGGGGGATAGTGTTGTCGTTGGCAAGACAGCAGGATCAGAGCTGACGGCAGGAACAGAGGACGGCCTTGTCGCAAGAGTTGTTGAGGCAACAGGAGCGGTTGGCACAGCGAAACCTGGTGGTGTAGTAGCTGCTGGTGCAGTGCGAGCGAAGGTGTAATCTTTGAGCGGATCTGTTGTCAAGGCCTTGCGGTTCTTGTAAGCAGAGACAGCAGCAGTTTGAGGATCCTGTTGAATCATAGGGTTCTTCGGTGCACCTTGAGGTTTCTCCGCGACGATATCGACATCAGAACAGGTGGTATAGTACTCGTCTTTGCCCCTGGGGATGTTGGGATCGATACCGGGTAGGGTTGGCCACTGCCAGACCCAGTAGAGTGTCATAGTTGTCCCGACTTGGGCGTCTGTTGGCATCAAAACATCCGTTTCGCAGAACTGTTCGTGTGGGGCAATGTTTGATCCATCGCGAGCCGCAGCCGCTTCTTGGCGCGCGATCGCTACAGGGGAGTTGTTCAGTTGGTAGCATCGGCCATCATCGTAGTTATTGGCTGCCAGGAGTTTGCCACGCTTATCACCACCGCTGCCGTCCTTGGTCCACCTCATAACCTCAACGATCTTCTCATCTGTTTTGGGTTGAGTTGTGCCAAAGACGAAGACAGTGCCACCACCCTCTGGTTTTCCAATGTTATTATCACGAAGTGAGACGTGGCCGTTCTCCGCATACTTCATTGCGATCCATTGACCGGGAGGAACCTTGAGACGAGGGAACCCATTGTTCTGTTTAGGGTTTTGTTGTGAAGGGCGGCAAAGAGGAGAGGCCTCAGTGATGCGGTCGTCGACATTGGGGACTAGGAAGTTGTTGACCGCAGCGTCGAAACCGGGGGCACCGCGTTCGTGGAAATCCCGCGGATAACCATTTTGGCCGACATACTTGCCATCAGGGCCGATAGCAGTGAGCTGATCAAGCCAAGTATGGGCGAGGGCTCCGGAAGAGAGGAGAGAGAGAAGCGAAAACTTGAGCAATGAAGGCCGCATATTGAGGTATAGAGAAGTATAAGTATAGAGTTTGGATATCTTTAGACTTGCGCTGCGAGAATCTCTAAAGTGACTTGTTCAGAAAGGGTACAAAAAGTAGATTTCGTGGTCGAGGTACGAGTTGTGCTCTCAGGATAGATGTTTCTGATGTTTGATGCGGTCGACGCTGATATTTAGAAGTAGATGTGCTCTTATAAGTCTATGATAAAAGATATGTTGTAGAAAGAAACAACATTGTCAAGGCCAGCATGACAATGAACAAAGAGTGAGCGATAGTAACAATGGCGATTCAACAAAGGTCATTGTTGAAGTGGGCCGTGGCCATTGTCAGCAGTTCAGAGAACGTGAACAATGGGGAGGTCGATGACAATGAGACAATAGACAGCGGGTGAGGGGGGGTTTTGAGGAGGACAATAACAATACAGTGAACATCAGTGAACAGCACGTCTGCAGCAAACAAGATTCTTGACAGCCAATGAAATCACCTTATCAAAACCCGACGAAACGAGAGGTAAGGCAATGGACACGCGAGAATATGAGTTTCTATTCTCGAACAAGCCTCAATGCTTGATGTGTTCCGGATTACCAGGATTTGAAGAGCCGCATCTGGGTAGAGGCCTATACATATCTACAAGGAAGGCCTGGGCGGTTTGCAGAAAGAGAATGCGCGCGGTATTCCGGTCCTTCATTATATCCAATTTCCACGAACTTGCTTATGATTCCGGATATTTTGGTCCATTACTGCAAATCCATCTGCCAGCAGTTCATGAGTTCCGCTGTCGTGATACAGTCGGGGGGCGAATGAGTTACGGAGAGAACACCTCGATATCAGGAATCTTTTGGCAAAGATAGCATCTCAAACCCGATCGTGAGTACCACAACAGCACTTCATCCTCCCGTTACTCCCCATCTTCGTCCCGGTTGCAAGATGAGTCAAAGGCACGAGTGGCTCCTGTCATTCTTCCAGACCTGTCCGCATGGTCAATTCAACGCGTCGGAGTAGGAAAACCGGGATATACAATCATGCAGGACATGTTCTACTGGCACTTTGCGACAGTCAAGAGTGAGTAGGGCGGCTCGAGAGGTCAGAGATTATCGAGGTCGTTGAAGTCGTGTTTCGCTTGGCGGGCGTTTCGAGAACACTCACTCTTCTTTCGATGATTGGACCGCGCAGCGCTCTTCAAAACTGCAACCCAAACGCCGACCATCTTTAGAAATTTCAATCTCGCTAATAACTTCGAAATATCAAAATACGGATTCCTGAGATGTAGTGGAAATGGAATGGTAATCATCAAATATGGATTCTTCCTTTTTTTTTAGCCTCTGCGCTTAGAACTACCTCGACAGGTGTTTATAAGATGACGTGTTGCTCGAAACAATGTTGAGTACCTTTGTCCTGTACGCTGTACATACCGATGCCACTGTAGTGGCTTATCGGGTAGGTATGATTACTATCCGATACTGACTAATTGATATCGAGATCATTTTTGTGCGCAAAAGACGCACTGAGGAGGATATGCTTTTAAAGCCGTAATTATACAGTACTAAGAATCATATTGTACATACATCCTCGGGTCCGAGTTATTCGTACAATTTTCACTCCTACACATAGGAAGGTCCAGTTCGTACAACGTCTCCTAACTGTACGTGGAACACAAGAGACGGAGAATACAGATCTCATATACAGCACCGTTCGCGAAATGCGTAGATCTATCTCTTCACATTATCGTCCTTTCAACTGAATATAAATACTGTCAGCATTGCGAAGGGGAGGAAAGCAAGGTTTAGGACTTACCGATTCTCAACCACAATAATACAATGGTGGGATTTTAAATCCATACCTTCCAATATTCCTTCTCTTCTCAATCTCTAGGGCCTCATTCCCCTGACGAGATCTTTTTGAGTTTCTCCTTCAATACCTGACCCTCCAAGATCTCATTGACCTTCTCCCTCAAGGCCTCATCCCAGATCGGATACCCGTTCTTGTCCAGATCCGCTCCATCAAAATGTCTCTTCTTCAAACAGCTCGGCTGCTCAATCCATAATATCCTTTCTCCCCCCACCTTCTCATTCACCTTCTCCACCACTTCCTTCAAGTATGCGTTCGCGCCCTTCAACGCCGTCTCCTGGACATCTGGACGCTGGAACATCGCGACCGCGAGCACCTGGCTGTCCTCTATCAGCAACAGCAGCCTGAGCAGAAGCTCGTATGCCCGGAGAACCTCCTGACTAAATGGGAGCATCCGTCCCACTCGTAAATCCTGAGCACCCACCTGTACCACCCACACCTTTATCGGGGTTGGAAGTTGCATCAGTAGGTCTAGTAACCCCTGTTGCAGTCTGTACAGCGTATGTTGCACCTTCTCGTTGCGTACGCCCGCGTCGAAGTTGCGCGCATCGTTCAGTAGGCTCCTTGGCGTACTGGGATACCTCGGGGCGGAGAAGGGGGCGGGACTGAGGAGGATGCTCTCGAGGTTCATTGGCGGGTTGGTACATGTCGTTTTCTGGGGTGCGAGAATGGAGGAGCAGAGGAATACGGTATCAAGCCTAGGCGATGAAGATGCCGAGTTGAGAGCTAGGTAGTGAATTCGTAGCGCCGGGACATGAGCGTTGAAGTGGATTTGGTGGGAGTGGAGTTTGTATATTGCGAGGCTATCAAGTTCTGTGAGCAAGAGTTGAGGTATACTTGGGCGAACGTTGCCTTGTATGGAGGGGGGGAGGAGTGATGAAATCTTTTCATTAGAAGTATTTTGTAGTTCTTCTGGATGGTCTATTATCCCAGTACGATCCTCTCTTTTTTTATGATCTGCTCCTTCGCAATCAGCTTCTTCTTTGCGGTCTGCTCCTTCTTCGCAGTTAACTCCCTCGTTACAATCTACCCCTTCTTTACAGTCTCCTCCTTCTTTATAGTATGCTTCTTCTTGACAGTCTACTCCCTTTCCAGAGTCTGGTCTGTCCATATACTCTACTCTCTTCGTACACTTCCTCAGTTCCGTACACCCTCTCCTAGTAATACTCTTTGGTGCGGGAAACTCTGAGGAGGTGAGAGAGGAAACAGTACTCCAGTTGTTCCTATTCTCTAACCGTTTGTTCTCACCTATTATCTCGGTATTCACCATTGTACGGTATTCAAATGTTCTTTCTTTGAGTTCGAAATATTGGTGTATCAATGTAACTATATTGATTCGGTTAAATACAAATGGCTCACC